TAATCGTAACTGTAAGGTTCGTAGAATGGAAGAAGAAATAGAATATTTACAGGACAAAAAGTATATTTAAAAAATACTTTTTTTTAAAAGTCTTCCGAAATCTTGGGATGAATGAGAGACTTATTTTGAAATTTTATTTTTGTACTTTCTGTTTTAAATATTAATGTCTTGCAGACTTTTATGAAAGTCTTTAAAAGTCATTAAAATTTTGAATACTAAAAGACTTTCAGATATTTCTAAAAAGTTTTAATTAAATACATCGAAACTTTTAAAAAGTTTATAAAAGTATCTATTGAATACATCAAAATTTTTGGAATCTCTAACAGTCTCAATTGAATACATTTAAACTTCTTAAATCCTTAAAAGTTTTTAAAAATATTAAGTTTTAATTGAATACGTCCCCTTAAGTTTAGCTTCTAAAAATAACATTGTAATTGATGGTGGCCTATCCATGCCTAGTTGTATTTAGAGAATCTATTTTTCCAAAATAATATATATAATCAGCCCAAGACTAAATGGAGACCCACTTAATTGTTTGAGAAGGTTTGTCCAACCAAACACCTGGGCCCGGGCATGGTTCGGGTTGGATTGGTTTTGAGTCCAACCCGAAACCGAAATCGAAACCAATTGGTTTCGGTAAATTCCAACTCAATCCAATACAACCGTTGAAATCGAACCAAACCAAACCAGACTAAATCGGTTTGGGTCAGTTTAGTTTGGTTAATCGGTTTAAACATTGGTGCGAGTTAAAAAAAATTACTTTTCTATCTTGGGTTTAAAAAAATTGTATTCCGATACATATATAGACGGCAATTTTAACTATGAAAATCGAAAATCGCGGTTAACCGAATTGAATGGGGCGAAAAAAATCGAACCGATGGTGCAATAGGGTGGTTATGATTTTGATTTTAATGACCGGATTCGTGGTGGGGCGGATATGGTATTTAACAACGATACCCCACTCCGAATTGATTATCCGCTAAAAAAAAAAAAAAAATTAATTGGACAATTTTAGTTTTTTTTTTTTTTTGGACAAACACAATTAAAAAATTGAGCCCACTACAAGTCCAACCCAATTCATTTATACCCTAACCCATATATCAAATCATTCACCACGTTAAAATTGAAAATTGGAAATCCTCATTTCAAAGCAACCGACCGTCGTCTGCTTTCTGATTCCATCGCGTCTCTGTGTAAATCCAAAATCGGTGTTAACAGATTTTTGCCTCCAAACCACCGAAAAATCATTTATCTTCCCTATTCTGTTCTCACCGGAGGTAAAACCTAATTACTTAACATTTTTTTCTATTAGAGTTTGGAGATTTCTCGTTTAATCTGCTACATTTTCCTCGGTGGTGAGAAGTGTCGATTAACTATGAGTTTTATTGAGCACATGTTAAGCTATTTGAAAATATGTGCATTTGGCTTATTTATATGGCCTAATTCTTGATTCCTTGTGAAATAACATTCTCTTTTTTCCAAGTGAACTTTTTGACAAAAAACTCGTCAAATCTGAAAAAATTTAGGTGTGGTTTGACTTCGACTAGTCTCATTTTGTTTCTAAAGTTCCAAGAAAACCTAGTATTTTGTATGGTCTGCAGTTTCTGGAATATGCAATTCTTCAGCTATTTTCTTCGTTTGTTGAGTGTATTTTCTATCTTCAACTTCAACTTGGACTCAAACAGCTTATATCCTTGTTTGCTCTATTTACTTTCACTGCATGGCTTTACTCTCATTCTTGTAACTTTGTTGGTATTGGAAACCAGAAACACTCTGGAGCTTGTGCAAGGTTTTGTGATGAGGACATTGATGAAGATGTACTTTTTTTGTTTCAATTTTCAGTTAAGATCATTCTTGATTAGGTAGTATGGTTATATTATTACTCTAATTATATTTCTTATTTACTATATAGAAATCAACTTTGAGCATTGACTCCTGACTATGCTAGTAAGAGTTGTGGGGAAGAATGAAGATTGACATATGCTAGTAAGAGTCTTGACCTATGTTGATAATGTTGTTTGTTAAATTCGAATTTTGTATTTTGGAAGTTGAAATATTGTTTGCTAAATTGGCTTAGTATTTTTTTTTATTGACTTTTTTTCATAATTTTTTTTTCACTTTGACGTTTGGAGTTTGGACTTATAAAAAATAATTTATTTTCGTGATTATTAATCGAATCGAGATATGAACTGAACCCACCTGAACCGACTTACGTGGTTATGGCGCGGTTATGGTATGGCCAAAAATTTGGTGGTGCGATTATGGTTTTGACCGAATCAACCCCGAATCGAACCGTTGCCATCCCTATATATCTTTTTTGCTTGCGAAGTGCATATCAATAATATATATAATGTAAATGGTAATTGATTGATTTGTACAAAATCATTGAATATCCAATAGTTGTCAACAAATAATTACGCCAAAAAAATGAAAACCAGTGATACAATCTAAATTTGGAATTTACAACAAACACTTCTTCTTCTTCTTGCTTTCTTTTCTTTCGAAATTTGGAGTTTTGATAGAAGAAGCGTAAACGGTAAATAAATTATTTGAGAAAGAATTATATTTGTGTTTGTATTATTTTATTTTTTAAGTTTAAAAAGATAAAATTTTAAACGAAAAAAATAAAAAAAATATTAGCGGGTTAGATCGGTTAATTGACGGGTTGGTTGCTTAAATCGAAACCAACCCAACCCGATTTTATAATAGTTAAAATTAGTGGTAATTACAGGAAACCCTACTTTTCAAGATTCAAATTCTAAAATCAGATTTAAACTTTATTTTTTCATAAATCAGATATTTTATATATAGATACAAATTTTTTATATTTAATTAAATATTACTAATAATATTATAAAAAATTAATTTATATACACCCCTATGCACCCCACCCATACCGTAAAACCCTAATTTCTCAGATTTCCCATTTCAGAAAACTCCCTCACCCCCTAGCTATCTCTCTCTCTCTCTCTCTGGCCACCATCACCACTGCGCCCGCCGGAGATCGCGGCGTGATGCTCATGGCGCCACCATCGCAGTGGCATCGATCTGAAGCAACAAGTGTCCGCAACTTGGTCGCTCGAAACGAGCACTCACGGCCAAACTTGACAGTCGCCCGCCGATTTTCACTCCAGCAGTCATATCCTCTCCTCTCCCCGGCGATCTCTCCATTCCATCCCACCA